CCTCGCACACGGTGATGAAGCCGACGACGTGCAACACTCCAGTCGGATTGAGGAGCTGCAGCTCTAGGCCCCACTCATTGAGGAGCCCGCACAGGAACCAGTGCGCGGGGTATCCTAGCCCGCGCTCATGAAAGGCGAGGACAGAGACGACCTCGCCGGCCTAAGGTCGCGGGAAATCCTCCCCCGTAGGAGCCCTAGAGTGCGCCACCTCCTTCGGCGGAAGCAGCCCCTTGTCGGTGAAGGCGGCCAGCACCGACTCATCCACATTGGATGGCCTCCAGCTCGACATTAAGCTTCGGATTCATGAAACAGATATGTGAGTTCTCCTACCCCTCGCTCTACCATCTCTCACTTAGGAACCGCTACGGCATGAATGCACTTGGCGAGAAAGAAGGAGGAGGAGATTCACGAAACAGATCTGAAGGAACGGGACGAAAGCCCTCTCCCTTCCCCTATTTAAGGAGAAGACGCAGCAGTTGGAGAAAGGTGAAGGATTGGGGTGAAAAATCCTCTCCCTTCCCCTATTCAATGCGGATGGGAATGTGACGGGACGTGCCCTGACTGATGGGATGCGCCTCGCCCGATGAGACGGCGCCCAGTTAGGCGGGACATGGCCTAGGCATAGCCCACCACTACTACACGCCAGGCACGAGAAACAAGGCACAACCGCACGCAGGCGGCCCTCCGCCTTCCTAGGCAAGACTTGGAAGGGCCCAACAACGGGATCTTAGCCCAGGAGAAACCAATGGGCTTCCTGAGTCGATCGGACGGCTCAGGCGAACTCCGAGAGGCAGGCAAGGAGCAAAGGGATGCCCCATGTGGGCCATGCCGACTCCATCATGAACTACGAGCACGAATCCCATTCGGACATATCCGATAAAAACTCCTTAAGCCTGTCACTCGAGTCATCAAGGTAACTCTACCGATCCCACTTTATTTATTCTGGTACATAGTCATTCACTCATCCATTCTCATACACGTATTCGCACATTCATTCACACATTCACTCATTCATCCCATACATCCGAAGCATCGCATATGCAGTTAAATGCATCACAACGCTCCATGTTGCGTCATGAAGCGGAACTTGCCTCATTCGACATGAGCAACGACCGACCGAGGTTCGAAGGCCGGCCCACGAAGGGCTCGAGGCCGCCTCACGTCAACCTTCTCGTTCGATCCTAACCTCGAGCCATGCCCACAGAATCTCCATCAAGGGGAGGCCAGCGGGCCACCTGAGTTGGTCTCCAGAACAACCTGGGCATCTGCCGGTACACGGGTTTAGGAGCAGTGGAATGCCACATGAGGGCTATGCCGACCCCGTCACGAACGACGGACCCGGATTCCACTCGAACGTACCCGTTAGCGAGCTCACCGAGCGAGTCACTCGAGTCATCGAGGCAAGCGACGTTAGCTCAGCCCCTCCGGTTGTGGAAACCACAGATGGGGTAATGCACAGAACTAGACCAACCCCTACCAAGCCCAACGGGGCTCAGGGGCTCAGGTCGCTCGACACCGACTCAGGAAATCAACCGACCGCGTAGGTCGCGGGCGGGACAAACACGGGCGAACGCCTCGAACGACAATCTGCGGCCCTAGGAAAGAGTACAGCCTCCAACTGACTCACCAGTCGGACGCAGGCTCGGGGGCTACACCCGTGGGTGCGCTCGCGCGCACCCACCGTCAAAACAAAAATTCTCCCGCTGGCAACATGAAAAACCCCCCAGACAATTCTACCCGAATCGCCCGGGACCTCAAGGGCTACACTTGTGGGTGCGCTCGCGCGCATCCACTGTTAAAACAAAAGAACCCCCAGACGATTCTACCTGAATTTCCGGGGGCTCGGGGGCTCCTATCGGGTTCATAAACCTGGGGTCCCTCATGGACCTGCTTCCCAACAAAAGCTCGGCTAAGCAGACGACATTGCGAACGACGCGCAACTCCTAGGCCGGCCCAAAAACCTAATGACAGGCCAGGGGCAATCCAGTCTCCGACCGGAAGGCCTGGCCAAGGAGGACCAACGCTCGCCTCCAACTCTGGCCTGCCTCTCCGACTAGAGGGCCTGACCAGTTCACCTTCGACTCAAGTGCTCGCTTCCAACTCCAGCCCGCCTCTCTGACCGGAAGGCCTGGCCAAGGAGGAACGTCGCTCGCTTCCATCGCCTCTGACTCTGGCCCGCCTCTCCGACCGGAAGGCCTGGCCGAGAAGGGACGACACTCGCCTCCGACTCCGGCCCGCTTCTCCAACCGGAAGGCCTAGCCGATAAGGGACGACGCTCGCCTCTGACTTCGGCCCGCCTCTCTGACTGGAAGGCCTAGCTAGCTCGCCTCTGACTCTGGCGCTCGCTTCCGACTCCAGCCTGCCTCTCCAACCGGAAGGCCTGGCCAAGGAGGAACGACGCTCGCTTTCGTCGCTTCCGACTCTAGCCCGCCTCTCCGACTGGAAGGCCTGGCCGAGAAGGGATGACGCTCGCCTCCGACTCCGACCGGGAGGACACCGAACCTCTACTTACACCTCTTCTCCGACCGGGAGGCCAGAGCCAACTGGGGAACGACCGACCGAGAACGCCCGCTCGGTGAAGACCCAGGAAACGGATAGAGCAAGTAAGGCGGGGCGCTCCAGTCAACCGCAATACAAGGACCGTACCCTGCACACCTGCAGGGCAGTACTGTCAGGCCGTGTCAGAAGGATGCTCTGCAACCTTCCAGATGCGTCAGAACATGAATAGTGTTGTAGACGCCGACATTTATCCTACAGTATGGTAGGCGCTGATATTTGCCATACCAGAAGATCACGGTGGAACCAACCACATGCAACCAACCATCAACAATATTGTGGGCGCCGACAAACCACCTTGTACCCGATGCGCGTGGGCAACAAGACTAGGTAGCAGCACACTCTCTTTCTCTCATGCTCTCTCTCTTGTAAAGCCGCCTTCTTCATCTATAAAAGGGGATGCGCTCTCTTCAAATGGAGGACGACTCGAACAACCAACGAACAACAGACAACCAACGTTCGATTCTCTCTACTTGGCTCTAGAACTCTAAAGCCAGACAGAGCATACGTTCGAACACTTAGCGCATGTCGGAGCTTCTGTCACTCTCGCCCCTTTGGTCTGGAGTCCGACCAGACTTCTAATACCCCCATCTTACTCTCTCTCGTTTGTAACCCCACAACAAACTTCGAGCACATGGGCTCGGGAATAAAGTCTTCGACCGATCTAGACTGGACGTAGGGCACGTTGCCTGAATCGGTATAAACCCTGTGTCATCGAGTGTTAGGCCACATCTGATCATAAACGTATGGTAAAACTATAAATATTTATGTGTTGGTTACTTTTCGCACCGACACTTTGTATAGTAGAGCTCTTGTGCTCTTGATTCTTCCTAGCAAGTTATTATTATTTTTTGATCGGGTACAATTTGGGCGCATATAACTTATACACTCCACACTCACACCACACGCACGCACACGTGCGTGGCTCAAAATAATTCTTGCACAAAATGATTTTGCGCGTGTAGTAAAAAAACTACTTTTTGAAACTCCTAATCTTTAAAGGACCATTTGGATCCTTTAATTTTTGAGGATTTGGAATCTACTCAATAGATTATACTATTTGGTTTGAAATTTGAGATTCCACAACTTTTCGAAGTTCTCGTATAAGTCTATCTCAAATTCATAGGGTGGGAGATGAAATTAATTTTATAGATCAATGTGCTATGTTTCTATTCTTCAACTTATAGCATGCTCTTCAACTCGCTTTTCTATAGTAGAAATACAAAATATAAGCATCTCTTATTCCATATATAGCTATATTAGCTTAATGAAATAAACTATATATGCTAAACTATATACTCCATATATAGTTTATTTCATTTCAACGAATCAACATAGAAAATGTGAAAACGTGGCATGCGAAGTATTGATTGTTCGTTCAGATGTATGCATGCTGCGCGCCTGCTCTACGATCTGATGTGTTAGCTTAACAGAAATCAAGGTGCTTCCAACCAGACAGCTTCATTTTGATTTTTCCAAAGTTAAAATATCAGTTTCCAGCAATATCTAATTAGATTTTGCCTTTCAAAAAGAATGGTGAAACCTTAAAGAATTATTACCTATTACGATCGAGGTAAAACACAACCATCGTATAAACACACAGATGCAAGACCATCAGATTGCTCCAACACCAAACACTGCACTGTAGTAACTGAGGCGTACATGATTCGTCATCATCTTAACAACTAGAGTCGTTGCTTGTCACGCACATGGTACAAGAAATTGGTTTGGTCACTCAAACTAACACTGAATTTACAACACAGCGCTGACTAGAAATAACTTAAAACACCAGCGACGTGAGCAGCGACTGCGACAGAGATGCCTCTGCTTCTAAACCTGACCACACGCCTGCACTAGGCAAAGCAAGAACCAACATCATCTTCATGCCACCACAGCTCAACCCGGCAACCATCCCATGGGCAATGGGGGCAAAAAGCTGCATGTGGTTCATCTTCATTACTAAGTGCCAAGGGGGCCAAGTTTTAAGCAAAAAGAAAAGTGAGAATTGCACTAACCCACATCCCTGTCGCCTGTTCACATACTGGACCGTCCCAATCTTCCCCTCACTGATCATCCGCTCAGTGCACAATCCCAATCTTTCATCATCATCACAAGTCCTTTGACAGCAGAGACCATTCAATGAGGGCAAGATGTGCTCCTCCAGCATCTCAATCTGTGAGGAGCAAGCAACAGCTCCGAGAATGAAGCTGAACGGGGAATGCAGGTGGCCCCACAGCCCACGCTTCACCTCTCAGCTTCTTGTGGATTGGACTAGCGGGGTTGTCCAATAAACCTCGAGTGGCTTCTGTTTAAAGGAGAACAGAGTATAAAGTGCCCCTCCTGCATCTCAGTATACAGGGAGCAGCTACACCGAGTGCGCACAGGCTGACAATATCAAACGGATGGCTGACTCTGCCTTACGCCTCTCGGTTCTTTTATGCCTGCTACCATCTGCCAGCAAAACAAAGGATAATGTGTTCGTTGCACACTGGCAGGTGCAGGCATACCCGGGCCCCTCACCGGGGCCGGGCAAAGCGCAAACTAGCATCAGGTTGTTGTTGGTGAGTCTGTACCAATAAAAGAAATCAGTTAGACAAGAAGCAAATTTATCTAGTGCATCTCAGGAGTTTCAATTCATTCAAAGTTAAATACTCCCAGAGTACAACGTATAATGCAATAGGATTTCTAGGAACATATGATGCCATTATAGTGAATACCAACCATATACTGTGAATTCATAAGCTTCTATAATATAAGCTTCTATAATAATACTCAAGCAGATATCAACTCAGTATGATCAACAAAGGATGAAAGGAATCACATAGGATGAAAACAAATGCATATACAGACCTGTGCAAATGGTCCCATGGATTCCTGTGGATGTACAAATGGGACTCCAGGGCGTGAAGGTATGGCATATTGCTGTGAAGCATGCATGAAAACAGACGATCTCACAGGTGCACCAGTATGGCCAGGGCTGTAAGGTCCCATGACACCATTTGGCCCATAGCCAATTGCATTTGATGCTTGAGCCGCTGACCATGATGCAGGCATGTGCTGAGCTATTGGACGAGGTTGCTGTTCGACAGCAACAGGTGATCGGTGCGCTGAACCAAGCTGGGGAAATTCAGTGTTGTAGTTAACAGCAGGGCCATAGAGGGGTTGAATTGTGTATGGGCCTCCACTAAATCCAAATCCAGGATCAAATCTTTGAATATACCTGTACAAGTCACTCATGGTGAGTAAAACGAATTTCTAGGGATCAAGTATGTCTACCACAGTGAACAAGAACATAAAAAGGTATCATGTAATCCGAACTAGCTTAACCAACTTCATAGAAAATAAGTACATCACAAGATTTAGTGTTTCCTATAAAAAAAATGATACTCTTATTGCCATGCTTCACTAGCATCCCATCATTAGCATTTAGCAATCAAACTGATATTTTGCCAGTTGACTTCAAAAGTTTAGGGCGATAGTTAAATGAAGTAGGACTTCACTAAACTTAAAAAGCAGTGACATACAATGCATAAGAAACTATTGGAGCAGAAGCATGGTAAAAATAACCATAAAAGCTTTCTTGTTCATGGTGCGCTAGGAGCACAGCAGCAAAGAGATGTGTTACGAGAAAAGAAACTAACCTGTCATAGCTTCTGTCATAATCAGGATCCTTGCGCTCTGACTCACGGTCTCTGAAAATTGCAACCCTATTGTTCTGCCTGCTTGTATTGACTGCAGGCTCCTTATCAATCTTGCTTCTATTTGACCTGCTGCTAGCTGAAGTGGTAGTCAGGCTCCTCTCGAGAGTAATTTCAGCCCCTTGGCCCATTCTATTGCTTGAGTTCAACTCCAAGGAAGTGGACCTGTGAAGAGTACTGGGTAAAGTCACTTCCTCAGCTGACCTCCCATCAGTAGCAATACTGCTATTGCTGTTGTTAAATATCCGCGCTCGTGCCTTGTTGTATTCCTCTTTCCTTTCTTCGACACTTTTCTGGTGGTTCTCTCTAGATGAGTGAGCACTTGAGCTGTTCATGCCATGGAAATTCTTTTGAGGCCTCTGCTTAATAGCTACTTTCGCCACAGAGATGTTCTCTTCTTGTGGCAGGTTAACTGGAATATCTGCAAGGCGGACAGCAGGCAGTCGGCACTCGGATGATGTCTTACGGAGGATGATACGCGAACCAGTTCCATCAGGCAAACTGTTGTCTGGTATGGCAATGGACTGCAGGAAGTAATGCTGTGCCAGGCGATGTGCAGCAAGACGCAGATACGAAGTCGGAAGACCATTGAATTCATACTCTGTACGCCTAGGGTCACGAATGAACTTCAAAATTTCCTGCTCCATTCTTAGCACTGCAGAAAGGAATAGACTAGAGTCAAATACAAGGACTACGCACATTTTGTCAATTAAAGCATTAGGCAATGGAACAGTCAAATTGTAAAGTTCCAGTTGATGATAATTGAGATGAACAGCAGTAGAACCCCGCGACCATCAGATGCAGTAGCTGCTTGGAACAAACACTCTTGCAATTCATATTTTTTTGGAACAGAATTTTACTATCTGATGGTTGTATAAATCTCTTATCCTTAGGGCCAGGCATGTTTGCACATATTAAAATGACATAAGATGCATGGAATACATCAGTCACATTTTCAAGATACCTAGCTACCTCGCTATAGTAGCAAGCCATATGGGGTGAAGTACATAAAGACAGCACACAGCATACAAGTACAAGGATACAACATATATGCCCATATGCCCTATGAATAAAGCAGCCAACCACCTGCTTACATCTCAAAACAAGCAAGGAACACTCTGCACGTATCCTAAATTAACCTTTTCGTCACCCAATCATCAAGTTAGTAGAATCGCATAACAGACAAATCCATTTGGTAAACTAACTCCGGAGGAGGCGTGAATTTTACCAGAAAGCCTCTCCCTTGGTTTCTCGAGGGCCTCCCGTAGGAACAGATCGACCTGGGCGACCAAATCCTCGCGCGCAGCCGAGGGAGCCGAGGAAGGTGGGCCGCCCTGCGGCTGCAGAGTGGGCGGCGGCTGGGGCGGATCCTGGTCGTCGGCGAGGTCGGGCGACGAGGACACGCGGCGCGCGGAGAGAATGAGCCGGCTCATGGGCCCGTCGATGTCGGCCGTCTCCCACGAGTCCGGCGCGGCGGCTGCGGCTGCGGCGTCCTCGGCTGCGGGCTCCATGGCTTTGCGTGCGCGGGCGGGCGATCCGGAGCTAGAGTGCGGAGGGGCGCCGGGCAGAGAGGCTGGAGCTAGGAACGAGCACGGCCATGGGTCCGGGGCGCCGGGATCTGGAGGAGGAAGCGCAGCTAGGGTTTGGTTTTGCGGGGCTGGTGTTGGGAGGAGGAGCCCGAACGCGGTGGAGATAGGAATCTAGGCGAAGGCGAGGAGGATAGGGAGAGGAAGCGGGTGTGCAGAGGAAGTTACGTGATTACCCTTGCGACATTGCCGTGCGGGCTGAGCCATTCGCGGCACGGAGGGTTAGTTTCATGATCTCTTTGGCAGGCTCCGGCTTCGGCCTGTCGGCCGGCCAGAGGCCCACACCAACTACTGTTTATCAGAGCCGATTTTCTCTTTTCTCATTTTTCCTCTCTCACTAGACACGTGCAGAGCCGCCGGAGCTTGTTTTTCTGGCTCCGCGGCTCCGGCTCCCGCAGCCTCCTGTCGGCCTCCCAGAGGCCGACACCCTGCTATAGTGCCCGGAGCCGGAGCCGGCCGGAGCCCTGCCAAAGAGGAGTCGGCCTCCTAGTACGCGCAGTGGGGGTGAACGAAACCGGAGGGACACGAGATCCCAGTCCCACTCGATGGTGGTTTCGTGCGCCAAGGACCGTGCGGACTACACGCACTCACATGCACCAGCGTTTCTCTGACGAGGCTTTTATCCACGCGCCACTATAAAAATTAATAATTACTCCTAGGTCATTAGAAAAATTGAGTTTTTATAGTAACCACTGCTGTCGGTGTTTCGGACCGGGGGTCCTCAACCAACCAGTGAATTTGAACTGCGTGCCCCTAATCCCGGATGGTGATGTAAAGAGACACAATGTTTATACTAGTTCAGGCAATCGAAGCCCTACGTCTAGTCTGAGAGATCGATCTTATATTCCTTGCACCGAGGTGCCTGTAGTAGGGGTTACAAGCTGGGCGAGAGAGGGAGCTGGTCCCAGGTCTCTACGCGGAGCGGTGCGGGCTGCTTGAGACGTTGCTCTCAGGCAGCGGGGGAGCGTGTCTGAGTCTACGAGAGCTTATGCGAATGTTCGTCTATCTTTTTCCCGTTGTGGGCCTGTGTGTGAGTGTGTGCGAGACCGTCCGCCCTCTAGAAACGGCCCCGGTCACTCCTTTTATAGTTGAAGGGGGGACCGGGGTGATACATGTGTTCATTATGCGGTGAGCGGAGGTGGCGTGTCTGAGTCTTGTAGCTTGCTACTGTGGTGGCATGGTCAACAAAGTGGTCTTGTCCTTGATGTACTGGAGCAATGCGCCGGTCACACCTGATCTTATACGACGTGGGTGCTCCAGTGATAGCTTGACGCAGGGCATGGCCGACGATGTGCTGGTCGCTGTGCGTTGACGGTGTAAAGAGCCGAGGCTCAGTTGGTGCCGAGGCCGAGCCGTCGCGGGGGGCTCGGCGGGTGTGAATCCGAGGCTGCCGAGCCCCTGAAGTGGATTGCCGAGGCTTGGAGGGAGCAGTCGGTCCTATACACTGATTCCGAGGCTATAGTGACCCGGACTAGACTCCCCACGCCGCGCTGTTCCTGGAGCAGGTATTAGGTAGCACACAATAAAGTATGGCCGCCGATCATGGGTATAGTCTTTGAAACAGCATGGTGATGTAATCCTCGCCGATCCTATCTCCCATCCCGTCGGTCACTCTGCAGATCGCTCGCGACGCGCGGCGGACGCTATGGGAGTGGTTGGGCGCATTAACTGGACGCGACGCTTTGTCAGAGAAGTCGGTCGAGACGGAGGCGACAAGGTTGTTGTCGAGCCGGCCTCGGGCGAATCGGAGAATCGGTAACCCGTCCGAGGCCTTGCGGGGCGGGGCCTCGGGCAAGAGGGCCTCGACGAGAAGGCCTCGGCGAGGCGGAGAGTCGTTGTGGCGCGGGCCTCGGGCGAGTCGAAGAATCAGGCGAGACCCTGTGATCGTCCTTTGGCATTGATATAAGCGAGGCCTAAGGACTCTTTTCGGTTCTTACTTAGGGTATCCCCTTTTATGGTATCCGACAGTAGCCCTCGAGCCTCGGGGAGAGTGCGAGCACTCTCCCTAAGGCTTTGTCGAGATTCTGTCTTGCAGTGGCTCCCGTCGGGATTGTGTTTTGTTCTCGTGGTTCCGGTGGGTGCGCGTGAGCGCACCCACTGGGTGTAGCCCCCGAGGCCCTGGAGGAGTGGATTTACTCCTCCAGGGGCTTTGTCCCTATTGAGTGAGGAGTTTTATCACGTTTGGCGGGCCCATGAGTGCGAGTTTGAGTCGCTGGGACTTGGCCTAGTTGTAGGAAGAGCCCCCGAGCCTCTGCACGGAGCGAGAGGACGATCAGTGGTTTTCTTGTCTTTTTTGGCGGCCCTCACGCATCCTTTTCGCTCAGAAGGAGGGGTGGAGCATGCCAAGCTACCCTCGGTGGGCGCGAGCAGTGACATCTCCGGTGAGCTGCTATCGGGTAGTCCAAGTGGAGGCCCGTGCCCCATTCGATAGGGGTCGGCTAGCGGTCCAGAGACGCACTCCAAAAGTACCAGAGGACTTCTCTTGTGGGTCCCAGGGCCGTTCGATTGGCCCCGGGGGCTCGGCGCCTCCCTACGGTGGGATCCCATTCGGAGACCTCTCTGCTAGTCTCGGACATGACTTAGGGCTTCCCAAGCATTTGCTTGCTCGGGCTTTTGGCCATTTTTGGGCTTGCCCACAATCATCCCTGACTCTGTTGTCCTGGGGCGGCTGTCGAAACCTTTGGGGGGGCCAGCCTTCGAACCCCTGGACCGTAACGGTCTCGGTGCCCTTTTTGTCGTGTTTTCCAAACCTCCGAGTGTGAGCTTGGGTGGCTTGTTTTCACGAAGAGAGAGGGCGATCAGGAGTTTCCCTGGCTTTTTATGCGACCCTCGCGCATCCTTTTTATTCAGAAGGAGGGGTGGAATATGTCAGGCTACCCTCGGTGGGCGTGAGCGGTGACACTTCCGGTGAGCTGTTATCGGGTAAGTCCGAGTGGAGGCCCATGCCCGTTCGATAGGGGTCGGCTAGCGGTCCAGAGACGCACTCCAAAAGTACCAGAGGGCTTCTCTAGTGGGTCCCAGGGCCGTTCGATCAGCCCCGGGGGCTCGGCGCCCTCACGGTGGGATCCCATTCGGAGAACTCCCTGCTGGTCTCGGACACGACTTAGGGCATCCCGAGCGATCGCTTGCTCGGGCCTCACCATGTACGGGCTCGCCCATAGTTGTCCCTGACTCTGTTGTCCTAGGGCGGCTGTCGAAACCCTCGGGGGCCCAGCCTTCGAACCCCTGGACTATAATGGGCTCGGCACCTAGTTCCTTAGTCTGAAAGGAATCGGCTAGGGGAATATTCCCCTCCCATCGGCTGACAACGGCAGGCGTGCCTTTTGAGGCGGTTTCTCGGGGCCTACTGTTGCTGTGGTTGGATGCGATGCGGTGTCAGCGGACAGGACATAACCATTCGTGCGATTAATGAGGAAAAGGTGGCGCGTGGGCGGTAGAATCGGATCTGGATTAACTGTGCCAGATTTGAGGGAAACTTCCCCGGTTTTGTCGCCCGTCCGTTTCGTCCCCTTCCTGCATAAATACGTAATGAGCCTCACCCCTCCCCTCCTTACCTTGCCTACACTTGTCTTTTCTGCCTCCGAGCCATTGCTAAGAACAGGGAGCGCCGGGGAGAAGAAGGGAGAAGGGCGAGGGAGAGAGGAGAGAGAGAGAGAGAGAGAGAGACTTACCGCCATAGCCTAAAACGACATGTCATCATATGCATTGCAAAGCATTTGGCATTTGGTGAAAACTTTGAGATGCATACACTAAAACAAGTTTATATTCATGTGGTATGTGTTGAATTGTATTGTTTGACTTAAATTCAAAGTTTGTTTGGATTTTGATTTTTTCGAAAAACCAGCTTTTTTGACATTTAAATCCTACCCTAAAAATCCATTTCAAAATCTAGGCAGAATTAGGAGATGGTTATAGAAGCAAAGTTGTAGAACTTTCAATTTTGAACAACTTTTGTTTTGGAGATTTTTGAGTTGTTATGAAAAATTTGAGAGTAAATTGTGAATTTTTGGCGTATGGCAATTTTGTAATTTTTGTGAGCAGTGTTCACCGCCTAAGCTACATTTTGTCGTCGTTCCTTCTTGGCGTTCGAGCGTGTCGTGGCCGTCTTTGATGTCGTCGTGGCACGGAAATAGCTCCGTCGTGGCTTCCTTGAGCTTCTGCGCTGGCGCTATAAGTACCAAGGCGTCGTCGTCATCGTCGTTTTTCTTCCTTTGTTTTTCACCACCGTCGTTGTCATCGCTCCAACAAGCTCGCATCGTCTCCCTAGCGCTGTTGCCATCTCGGTAAATGCCGTCCTAGTTCCGTCTTTTCCTTGCGAATCGGCCCGGCTAGCCTTGATCGCTTTGAAATTGCGAGAACTTCATTTGTCCACGTTTTTTTCTTCCTCGAGGTTGACAACTTCACGCTTCTTGAGGCGTGTCATCGTGGCGAGTTTTTCGGTGAGCCGTTATGCATGTCGGTGTACTTACGGTTTCGTTTCGATCTTTGTAGTCTTTAAATCGGTTGTTGTTTACTCATTTTGATCATTGCGATCGCGGTTCTCCCTTACCGGCGATCTTTGCTTCGCATAGTTCACCATAGTGGTCGGATAGTTCACCATAGTGGTCGGATAGTTCACCGTAGTGGTGGATAGTTCACCATAGTGGTCGGATAGTTCACCATAGTGGTCGGATAGTTCACCGTAGTGGTCGGATAGTTCACCATAGTGGTCGGATAGTTCACCGTAGTGGTCGGATAGTTCACCATAGTGGTCGGATAGTTCACCATAGTGGTCGGATAGTTCACCATAGTGGTGGAGAGTTCACCAAAGTGATCGGTGCTAAGCGTGGTCTCATCGATTCTGAATATGGTTTGGTTAATTTGGTTTGTAAGCTGTCTTTGCGAAGAAAAATTGTATCAATTTATTTATTTTTTGTATCCATCAT